CAACGGAGTTTTTGAAGAACTTTAAAATTTCCGAATTTATAACAAAAAGTTTATTTCAATCTCGGCCAAAACTAAGTGAAATTATCACCCCCCACTGGGATTCCCCGAAAGAATATTCGACAGATATTTGAAGGAAAACCCGGACTGATCACAATTTTAGAAGGTAAAAAATCTCTATGAAGTTTCACGAAGGGAAAGAAAAGCCCTTCTGCGGAAGGTCATTATGAAGGCTAAAACAACGGGGGTGGCAACCTTTTTTTTTTGAGATTAGGCCCTTTGGGAATTGGAAGCCAATTTTTTCCATTCTCTCAATGAAGAGGATGGGAAGGGGGCGGTTCGGTTGTTATAATGTTCACAAGCAAAGTCCCGCCGTTTCATAGGCACCCGGGTGTCTTAATTCAGGACACACACCCTTTTTCCAGTAGCCTGTCCCCTAAGAATAAATAACCGGTAGGTATAAGTTCGGCGGCTATATTAAAAAAGGGCTGTAGCCATAGTCATCCAAATTCTTGTATACCTCACTTAGGAAACCATAAGATCAGTCATATAATTGTTAACAGGTACGTCGAACTCACAGTTGTCGTAGAACTCTTTAGTATCTGACATTGGCCGCTAAGTTGTTTTTGTGGCACTTTTTCATGCACTCGTTCATGCACTCATCCTCTTTGTCTTTCTCTTCTCTTTTTCCTTCTCCTTCCTCGTGGGCCACCACTGCCAGCTTGTACAGAGTTGATCCTGTCTGCCCTTCCTGTTCGAGTATTAATATTAGGCATTCTACACGTTCAGGTTCATCTTCGTCCAGCCCACGCAAATCCTCATCCACTACCGCCCACAGCTGCTCGTCTGTGAACTCCGGGTCGTAGTACCCATACCAAGTCAGTATAGCTTCGTCATAGTATCCGTTGTCAAACAACTCGTAGAAAGCCTGCGATACACTCAGAGACCTTGTGATTTGCGTCCGAGAGTACACGCTGCAGAGTATAGCAGCCGGAATGGAATCCGTCCCATTCACACCAGTGCACTGCTCGATCGTAACCGCGGATACTAGAGCATACGTAATCAGGGTGAAAACCAGAAAAATACGGGATAACATGTTGTTGTGTTTGTATCTCGTTTAAGCTTAGAATAAGTTGCTATTATACACAAATGTTCACTACTGTCACACTACCAGATGTTATATAGTCAATAGGTATATAAGTCCTGATCTGATCCTAACTTAATTGAGCACTCTTAAGATTACCTCTTATATTTATATATATCTAAACCTTAACTTACCTGGTCCTTTTATATAAGTTTCTCTTTCCACAAGTTTGCAACCAATTTCAATGTTTGTTGTAAGCGCAATGTTAGTTTGAGTTGCTTCCAACAAAAATCGTTTATTCTTTAGCGAGAACATTCCAATAGTTTGTTAGGGACCGTAGGACGTTGCTTATGATCAGGGTTAATAGGGTTATCACGATGTAAGTTGGTTACAACCCGCTTATGGAGATGTTTAATGTTATATAAAGAACATATAGTATATTTCTGTATAGTAAGTAGATAGATGTTCCAATTAGAGAGGAACAATTAGGTTGATCAATAAGATAATCAATCTTTAATATTGTATGTATCAAGAGTTATTCGCCATAATATAACTAGTAATGCACATTTGTACAATAAAAAATATGAGGAAATGAAGCTCTTGCAATTTGACAAATTGATCACATGTTAATCTTCTTCAATCCGGCTGTTTCAAAACATATAGAGTCTGTGATGGAGATACCCCACCAACTACAAAGATTACACCTGTATCTTATCCGATATCAATTTGGCTAGACAGATGAAATACTTGGTATTCAAAGCGGACAGTGGAACCAAACTTATTTGTATAATATTTAGAAACAATTTTTCCTGTATATTACATATTTTGCATCATCTCTAAGGCAAACAATGGGAACACTCATATGTATCAATATACAATTAATTAAAGAAAGAATCTTTCTTGATTTTTATGAGAAGCCACGGTGTCGTGCTTAATCAAACTTGTTTTAGTTTTCTCATGACAGAAAATCAACGAGTACTATGAGGTGACACTATATCTACTCTCTGAAGTGTTGTATATATCGTCACTCCCACCATCTCCCCTTGCACTACTTGCATGACACATATAACTAACGATAGCACTATTTAGTACATGGTGGTATATTTATGTTGGTGTCACATGATTATCACATGATCACTTCTTTCTATTTTCATTTCATATGCCCACTTCCTGAAATTTTGAAATTTGGCATTTTGGCAGTTCTAACAAACGTTTAAATTGTACATGTGTAACTTAGACAGATATATATATATATATATATATAAATTGTTGATGATAATTTTAAGATTAGATAGTTTATAATTTCTCCAAAGAGCTAGTTTCTGCATTAAACGATTGGTCTGTGACACGTTTCATTGCATATTTATCTATTATTTTACTTATAACTAGGACACCGTTTCAAGTTTTAGAAAATTGTTGGAACTTTTGATAAATCCCCATTTTGACAAACTCGATTTCACAAGACTTTAAATAAACATCTATTTTGAGAAACTCTCGACACTTCTTCGTCATCATTCCAATTCATTTCCCCCTTTCCCCCCTGTTTGAATATATAAATATATATATATTGAATTATTGAATTATTGAATTATTGAATTATTGAATTATTGAAATTACTACAACTTTTGGTTTGTTCACACTTTAAAGATAATGAATATCAAGGATAGAACTACTGAGTTCCAACAGAGTGTTCTTTCGTACAAGAAGCAATACAAAATTGCTAACCAACAAATAGAAACGACCAATAATGAATCTAATAGAAAAGATGCGTCAGAATTTCAGAAAAGAGCATCTGGGATTGCCCATGAGATATCTGGCACAGCTCAATTATTGTCAAAGTTGGCTATCTTAGCTAAAAGGAAACCTATGTTTAATGACAATCCTGTTGAAATTGCCGAATTATCATTTCTAATTAAAAGGAAAATATATGCTATCGAACAGAATCTTGTTGATCTAAGTAAGCATCAAAGATCTAATGGGAGTCAAAATGCAAATAATAATGTAGATGGTAGAAATGGTAATGTTCAACATTCTAAGAACGTTATGAATTTGTTAAATACAAAGATGAAGAATATATCAGGGGATTTTAAGGATGTATTGGAGGCAAGACAGAGATTAGAGATCGCTAATAAAGATAGATGGGAGAAAATATCATCAGAGGCAAATAGCGACTCTCATATGGGTAATAATAGTGGTAATAATGTTAACAGTCAAGCAAATAATGTCGCAATGTATAATAGCTCAAATCCATTCTTATCGACGTTGATGGATGAAGACTCGGCTAAAGACAGTAAAGATAGTGGGAAGCTAATGACTCTTCCACATGATTCGCAATCATTGTTATTACAAATGGAGGAAGGTACAATGGATAACAACGTATATTTACAAGAAAGAGATAGGGCAATGGAAACTATTGAATCCACAATTCAAGAAGTTGGTGGACTTTTCCAACAATTAGCCTCGATGGTGCAAGAACAAGGTGAAGTAATCCAAAGAATTGATGATAATGTCAATGAAATCGATATAAATATTACAGGTGCACAAAGAGAATTATTGAAATATTTTGATAGAATTAAAAGTAATAGATGGTTGAGTGTTAAAATATTTTTCATCATATTTGTATTTTTCTTAATATGGGTATTAGTCAATTGAATAATTAATATGAACAAATAATTAAATAAATAAATAAATAAATAAATAAATTGTATAGATACCTAATATTTTTTATTAATATTGAGGATTTGATGACAGAAGCTAGAAAATGATCTGATAAAGAATTATGTATGTTAAAAATTCTGCAGTTGTAATTATATAATTTTATGTACATATAGAATACTGTATTTTTTTGAATTTATCTTGTAATATGACAGAGAAACAATTACAAACTCTAGCTGTAATTGTTAATAATACTATTTTTGTGGGGGGGGGAGGTTAATAAAAGAATGATATCATAAACCCATTTCTGCTTGTAATTCTCTTAATGCACGTTCGTCTTCATCTTCTTCCTCATCATTAATCATGTCGTTACTAGATGTTACAGGATTTTTAATTTCTGCATTAGGCACATTAGGCAAGTCGATCTTAGCTTGTGATGCAGGTACTGCGACAGCAGGCTTTTTAACATCAATCAAAGTTTCATTAATTTGTTCTTGTGATTCTTCAGCCAACATATCTAATTCTTCGTCTAATTCTTCATCATCTATCAAATCAGTGGAGCTTACGTATAATGGTCTAGCAATAGCCTCACTAATCTCGTCGCCCAATTCAACTTGTTCCCTCACTTCATCCATAGTATCTTCAACTTTATCTATATCTAACCCGTTATGTATAGCTTTCATTGCCATAGACCCTTGTTTCATGGCCTTCATTGTCTCTAGGTTCAAGTTAGCATTTTCGATGGAGAATAACTGTTGTTCCAAGGAACCTATGGTATTTTCTAGTTTTTCTAATTGTGATTCGTATATTTTTTTCTTTTTTAATGCATTTTTAGCTTGAACTTTGTTACCACTATTAAGAAATTTTTTAGCCTCTATCACTTGGTTATTGATCTGAGATTGCAAATGCGATTGTTTCTTGTTCAATAGATTAATATGCTCTCTTAATTCTACAATAGCCTTCTTTGGTAACTCCTTACTTTTACTTTTGCTTGCTGCTGACCCACCAAAAAAATATGACCACATTTTTCTCACTACCTCGATAGAAAAGTAAAATAAAAACTTTAAAACAATATCCCCACAATAAACTACCTAACTCAACAATATCAGTCCCAATATTCCTGACAAATATCCTCCTAATCCTAACTTTTAAGCTGTTCTAACCATTCAATAAACCTTCAATTATATCTTGATCCTTCTTTTAATTTGATTAATTTAATCTCTAATACTAAGTCACATATCATTATATACGGAGATATCCAATTGTGAAATTTTAAGTCACGTGCGAATATGTTATGACAAATCAGGGTAATAAATCACGTGATTGAATATATATGTATTCTTTGTTGTGAATTCTTAATTTATAGATATCTAGTAATCGTACGTTGAATAAGTGCTTGGTATTGCTTTTATTCTATTCGTCTATCTTGTGGAGACTAGTACTGTTAATAAGTATATTTATTATTAAAGAGTTCTATATCTTCTTCTTCTAATGTACAGAGTAAGTAAATAATATACAATAATATACAATTGAATCAAATAGCAGTCACTATTAGTCTTTATATGTGTCAACCATAACAACACGTATTATCTGGTGTCATAGATCTTTACTAATTCGTATGAAGCTATGTTGAAACAATACATATACATTTGTATATATAGTGTATATGTGTAAACGAAATGCTCAAAAGTGTGTTCGTTTCTAGTTTGAGTTTGTCTAGAGAACTTAACTCTAATCGAGTCAGACCTGAAGGAGTGCATTGTAACTAACTCTTATACTTAATGTCACCCAAAAATTGTTAACCGTGCCAGTGACGTGTCAGTCTCCATCTTCATTTACTGGCACTTCATCATGTATGTCACATCTCGTATAAGGGATATGTTATCGTGTATAACGATGTGGTTTTTATACGGTTTTAAGAGAGAGGAGAGCTTCTTTCTCTCTCTAGTTAATGGAAAGGGATTTAAACCATACCATCTATACCAATGGATATCGACTTTCTAATTGTTTGTTTTAACCATTGAACAATTTATCAGATTACTCGAGATCGCTGCTATAGGAGATATCATTCATTCCATATTCAGTAATTTTTAAAAGGATTCATTGAATTAGGATAATTATCTCTTCTAATTTGAACAAGATAAGTTTGAACTGGATTGAAATATATAAGAAAAAACTAGACACCAATATAAAAAATAATAATATTAATATGCTGTTCCCTCTGATTGGGAGATTGGCTATTACTGATTATATCATTATTTTAATGGTATATACAGAATTCTTCGTTTATACGTTGGTTTCTTTTGTTCCTCAGAAATTAATTAGTGCGACATCATGGTTATTCCAACAGATATTCACTTCGAAAACTGTCATTGAACAAGATGATACGAAGGATCCAATTGAAGTATTATTGAGAACTGCCCCTACCATTCATGAAATGTGTGCTGTCTTCGACATTCAAGTTCATGACCATCTGGTTAGAACTGAAGATGATTATATTTTGACTTTGCATAGAATTCCTCCTGACCCACGCAACTCAAATGGTAAGGTTGCTTATCTACATCATGGTTTATTAATGTGTTCTGATGTTTGGGTTTGTAATATCGAAAGAAATAAGAATTTGCCATTTGTTTTACATGATATGGGTTACGATGTTTGGATGGGAAACAACAGGGGTAATAAGTATTCTACCGCTCATTTATATAAATTGCCAAGATCTCCAAAGTTCTGGGATTTCTCTATTGATGAATTTGCTTTCTTTGATATTCCAAACTCTATTAAGTTTGTATTGGAGCATTGTAAAGTCAATCAATTGGTATGTATTGGTTTCTCGCAAGGTTCTGCTCAGATGTTTGCTGCTTTGTCAATTAATGAAGAATTGAATTCAAAGATTTCTCAATTTGTAGCAATTGCCCCTGCAATGACTCCACATGGTTTGCACAATAGAATCGTTGACACCTTAGCAAAATCTACTCCAAAATTAATGTATTTATTTTTTGGTAGAAACATCGTTTTACCATCTGCCACTCTTTGGAGAAGAACTCTGCATCCAAAATTATTTAATATGATGGTTGACATGGGTAATGTTTTGTTGTTCAATTGGACCGCTAAAAATATTACTTATAAGCAAAAGTTTGTTTCTTACTCGAAATTGTACTCCACAACCTCTGTGAAATCTATTGTCCATTGGTTCCAAATTTTACGTTCTCAAAAATTCCAACTGTTTGAAGAACCAGATGATATGTTTAACTCACTTTCAAGACCTTACCGCATTCCTGTATTCCCAACTAAAACAAATATTAAAGTACCGATTCTATTAATCTATGGTGGCATTGATTCCTTAGTAGATATTGAGGTCATGAAATCAAATTTACCAACTAAAAGGGTCTTTGATATTAAAGTAGAAGACCATGAACATTTGGATTTAATATGGGGACATGATGTCGATAAGTTGGTTATCGATAAAGTTATTAAATTTATTGATTTTTTTACACCAACCCAACAAAGCTTACCATCTGTTGAACAAAATGTACCTTCTGTCCAACAAAGACTAATGGGTCATATTGAAGAAGAGGAGAGTTCTGATGCTACAACTACACATACATTGATGGAAAGGTTGAATTCTTATACTGAATCCGAACACAAGATCAGTATCTCATCCCCAAGGGAGATATCTATTGAAGACATAGAGAGTTTCAGTAAATATGAAAACCCTGTGACGCCAAGATCTTTTAAGGAAACTACCTCTCCGTTAGCCGAAGTAGTAACGGACAGTAGTATTGATGTAAGTACCAGTTCAGCAATGCTATAATATATTTAATATACATTTATAACTATATCACAATACACATTCGCATTTTAGCCCATGGCATTCTCTTTCTAGTAAAGGTGATTAAGTTCATTAGAATATGCGGTTATATTTATTATAAGGCTTTCTTATACTGGTATTATATTGTCATATCTATATATATATATACAAGAGTTTTTGTTGAATAATTTGTACAACATAATAATGAACTTGTGTAATGTTATTCTATTTAATTTCTTCTAGCAGGAAATTGTAATATTAAGTTTCTTCAAAGAATATAATCGGGGGAAATTAAGGAAGCACCTAGAAGTGATCAGGGTTTTTCCTCATAGATATCTTAGTCCACTTAGGAACCTTATGAACACTCTTTCTGTAACCATCGGATTTTCTATTAAACACAGTGTATTTATCTCTTGGTAACATCTCACTTTCCTTAGGGAAAAAACTAGATTTATTAAGCAATCTCAAAAGCTTACTACGAGGCTTGTATTGAGTATCACTCTTTAATGACTCCTCATAAGAAATACCCTTGTCTTGACACTTTTGAACATGTAACCCTAGAGTAACTTGCTTTATAACTTCATCAACATCTTTCAATCTATTTCTAACTCTAGATTTCTGAGGAGCAGACATCCTCCATGGAGATTTCCATAATAGCCCACCTAAAACAGAACTAGTAGGTTTAAAAGCACCAAACATTAGTCCCACAATTCAATTCCTTGATCCACAAGTTACTTCTGACTACTCAAACAGTGTTTCTTTATAACCTTCTCATCAAAGCTATGTTACTGATTTAAATATCAATTTTTCAATAATTTAAATTATATCCAATTTCGAAAATAATTAAATTTGAGCCTATCCGAAACATTTGACGTATAAACTTGTCGTATTTAATTAAATAGACTAGATCGATCTATAAGAACTATACACTTTTACTATACTTGTTTATGGATTAGATCAGTGTTGGTCTTATATTTGACGGTTTAACTAGGTGAATAGAATTTTTAAAATGGCTGAAGTGCATAGTGAGGACAAGAAAGAGGGTAAAAGGTTACCGTTATGGGTTTTGGCCCCTAAGGATGAAATGGATGCACGTAAGAACTTGAAGAAGTTTGCTTATGAACAATGTAAGGAATATGTTGAAGCAATGGCGGCTTGTGCTAAGGCTAATGGTATGAAGGTTTTTCCAGCTTGTAATGAACAGCGTGATAGAATGGCAGAATGTATATTATTTTATCAAATTGATACAAAATATTTGGATATGGAGAAAGATAAGATAATTGAAAAGAAGATTGCTTTGATGAAGGAGAAGAAGGATTGATAAAGTTATATATATGTATATATAAGTATTTTCATGTAAATAGATAATGAATTAGTTAAAATGAAGATATGAAAAATGTTCGTATATGTTATAATGTTTGAGCAAAATAATCGTTTGGTTCTCAAACTGCAACTTTCAAAGCAAAACATAAATTGTTTAAAACGCTCTCATTTGAAAGATTAATATATATTTTGTTATCAAAACAAGAATATTCAAGGAAAGTAAAGAATCGATAGAAATAAGATAATATAAGTAGATTAGGATTGCTTTTAGAGAGGAGATTCAAAATACAAAAAAAATACTTTAATGACATTTAAGGACGTCACATTGGAAAATTGATATTTCCTGGATGAATAATGGAAATATCCTACTTGAACACACATGAAGCAGTGTATTCTCCATCCATCAACTTATACAGGCTCAATATACTTATATTAGATCTATTTATTGTATCAAATCATATCTATCTCTTTATATATCCTTCCAAGCAACTATTTACATCTACAGCAATACAATTTAACTTAAAAGAGACAAATACAATCACATGCCAAACGATCACATGACATACCATATTTCGAAGAATCTGTAACAGATCTAAGTTACCCCGCTTCAGAACAACAACCCATTAGAATACCACAAAAACTTCTGGTATCATATGATAAGCACATGATATACACATGACTAAACAACATACCAAACCTTTGAATCGTTCCGTTTTAAAAAAAAAAAAATTACAACTTCTTAAAAGCAACACACCAAAAAAATTCAAACAAATTCTCCAATTTTGCGGTGTACAGATGTATGGAGCAGTCATTCGGTCAGTGTGCTCATAATTTCGCTATAAAATCTTAAAAACCTCCACACCACCAAGCGAAACTCTCAGCACACTTCGTGAAGTTTTCCTCAGAGCCCCATCTCAAAGTATTTTGAAACTTTTTACCTTGACCTCATCGCTTTACAAGGCCAAAATTCGAAGATTGAAAATTTTTTTCAAAAGTTTCATTGATTCTACTTTCTTAAAATAATTCATATAAAGGTAGTGCTATTATAATAATAATTTCTATATTAGTTATATCTGTCTCTTTCTTCTTTTGTAGTTTCAATTCCATTAATTTTAACTTTTTTTTATTTTAATTCTAGAATAAAGTATAGAACCAATTTACACAATCATGTCTACTGAAGTTTTAGTTTTAAGAGGTACCTTAGAAGGTCACAACGGTTGGGTCACTTCCTTGGCCACTTCTGCTGGTCAACCAAACTTGTTGTTGTCCGCTTCTCGTGATAAGACTTTGATTTCTTGGAAATTAACTGGTAACGACCAACAATACGGTGTCCCAGTTAGATCTTTCAAGGGTCACTCCCACATCGTTCAAGACTGTGCCTTGACTGCTGATGGTGCTTACGCTTTATCTGCCTCTTGGGATAAGACTTTGAGATTGTGGAACGTCGCTACTGGTGAAACTTACCAAAGATTCACTGGTCACAAGTCTGACGTTATGTCCGTTGCTATCGACAGAAAGGCCTCTATGATCATCTCCGGTTCCCGTGACAAGACCATCAAGGTCTGGACTATCAAGGGTGACTGTTTGGCTACCATGTTGGGTCACAACGACTGGGTTTCCCAAGTCAGAGTTGCTCCAAATGAGAACGAAGATGACGAAACTGTCAGATTGATCTCTGCCGGTATGGACAAGATGGTTAAGGTATGTACTACTAACATTTTTATTTTTTTTATTTTATCATTCATTCTTTAAGCTACCTCATTAGCATTATCCAATTAGTTGAATGGTGTGTGAAGGACAGTGTTTTTCAAATGATGTATTTTCTATATTTGCTACTTCAGACAAGGTTAAGCCTTGAATGAGACATTTTTTATCACCAAGATCTCTGATGTTTTAAACACATGTACCTTCATTTAGCCAAATACTTATTTCCTATTGAGAGTGAGGAAAAGTACTTGAAGTTTGTTTTGATTTACTACTTTTGAATTATTAATACTAACAATTTATGCAATTCAATGCATTTATTATGACTAGGCTTGGAACGTTAACCAATTCCAAATTGAAGCTGACTTCGTTGGTCACAACAACTACATCAACACCATCACCGCTTCCCCAGATGGTACTTTGATCGCTTCCGCTGGTAAGGATGGTGACATCATGTTGTGGAACTTGAAGGAAAAGTCTCCATTGTACACCTTGAACGCTCAAGACGAAGTTTTCGCTTTGGCTTTCTCTCCAAACAGATACTGGTTGACTGCTGCTACTTCTTCTGGTATCAAGGTCTTCGACTTAGAAGAAAAGAAGTTGATCGATGAATTGAAACCAGAATTCACCGGTTTCAACAAGGCTGCTGACCCACACGCTGTCTCTTTGGCTTGGTCTGCTGACGGTCAAACTTTGTTCGCCGGTTACACCGACAACGTCATTAGAGTTTGGCAAGTCATGACCGCTAACTAAATTTAATCAAAATTATACCAAATCGTATTATTTATCTTTATTCTATTTAGTTAACAGTCCATTAAATTCAAATACTTTTTTAAATTAAGGATATTTCTTTATTTAGACTAACCTTTTATGTACTATATCTATCATTCTATTCAATTCATGTTTTAATCATTTTCGGAACATTAAACTATTCATGATTAGTAAAGTATAGTTGAACTAAGAATTTGAATTTGAATTTGAAATTGAATTTGAATAGATAGTAATTCTTGGAATATATCTTTTATGTATTTATATTTACAAGCTATGGATTGTTTGTTATCATCACAATAATAAAATTAAAGCTGATTAGTAGAGCCAATGTATTTAATCGCTTCGTCGTCCCCTTTAGCAAGTTCAGGTTTATCCAACGCAGACGCTATGCAGTGCCACGGATCTCTAGACCCTCCCCATTGCAAAACTGAGTTACGATATTTATCACCACTTGCTCTACTAAATGGGTTTCTCTCAAATAATGCCCCCCATATCTTACTTGCTATGGCACGGTCAAATAAATAACTATAGTAAACAGCACTGTAGCCAAATAGATGTCCAAATTTGCCGCACCAATTACTTTTATCATCAACAAGAACACCAAGTTGACGTTCTAAGTCTTGGTATAATTTGACGACATCCAAATGATCCAAATGAGACGAAATTGTTTCCCCATGTAATGTTTGATCTAACATCGCCATTTTTGCTTGAGAATATGTCTCACAGTGCTGTAGATACTTTAAGTCTTGAAGATGTGGCTCTAGCATTTCTCTTTTTACCGTTTCTTTTGTTAAATAGTGTTTACCAATGGTTTCCAATACTCTTGGATCTCTAGCGAAATATTCCATTAAGATACTTGGTAATTCAACAAAATCGGTGGCACATCTTGTACCACTGATGTTTTGAAGCTTTGTTCTGCCAAGCATGGAGTGCATAGCATGTCCCATCTCATGGAACAATGTTTCAACCTCAGGTAAATGCAAGAAACAAACACTGTCTGTTTCAGAAATCATGGTTTTTGAAAAATTACAAACCAACGAAATAATGGGAAGCTGAAATCTTGTACCCTTCGAATCAATAGCGATTTGAGTTGTAGAGTCTTCAGTTTCATATGGACTGATATCCCTAGAGCAACAAATAGTGAAATGTGCAGCGTTAGAAGTTTTGCCGCTTCTTTCAAACAAATCACAATATATAATACCAATTAGACCCTCATCTTCTGAAATAACATTGATCTTGCGAACCTCTGGAGACCAAGTCTCTCCAATTTTAGGCACATCTAACTCCAATTTAATACCATATATTTTTTGGAATAAATTTGATAGCCCTTGCATGACATTACCTAGAGTAAAATATTTTAACACTTCCTCTGAACCGTAAAGATTTTTAGCAGATGTTTGTTCTCTTTCAATTGCTGAATAATAATCACGATCCCAAGGACGTACAGTCTTTAGGATATCACACACTGATAAGTTAGAGCCATTTGATTTTATTGTCAATTTTTTTTCAGCAATCCCATCCAATTCCTTTGCAGCCATTGGTTTTGTGAAATCCATCAGTGTCTTAATAAATTCAATAACTTCTTTTGGATTTTTTGCCATTTTCCCTTCTAATTGATATTCTGCATAACTTTTTTTACCTAATAATTGAGAAAGAACTGCCCTAAGTTTAACCAAGTCAGTTAACCTTTTAATCTGTTCATTGGAGCAATTATGAACAGCTACCCATATCTTTTCTCTGATTTCTTCAGAAGGGCAACTTTTCAAAAGTGCAAAAGGTATGTATCCATATGTTGGAATTTTATAATTTTTGCCTGCTATATCTTTCTCAATTTGTGATAATAGTTCTGGATCAATGCCTAAAGAATCAAGCTGATTACAGCTAACGACAACATTATTATCCTTAACAAAATCAGTATTACTTATAAATTCTTGCCCAATAACACTGATACTTTGAGACAACGTAATGAACTGTTCTCGAACTTCTGGTTTCATATATATACCTGATTTTTCAAAATCTTCTAATAATATCCTCCCCACTCTTAACTCTTCTTCTGATAACTTAGAGGCAATTTCTTTATTCTCTAACACATGCTTCAAAGTAAAACAAAGATTGACATCTGTATTCAACATATTCATAAATTCGAACATCTCCTCATAACAGTCTTGGGCTGCTTCAACAAATTTATAATCTGGGTGTGACGATCTAATAAATTCGCAAAGATCAATCACACGACATAAGGTGTCACTTAGAAGATCCAAATTTTGAACGTACAATCTCAAACCCTCTGGGGTTCTATCAGATCTCAATTTATCTACTATCTTTTGTGATTTCTCCAGAGAAACTTGACTGAAAAGTTTTAATCCCTCTGGTGAAGTAAGATATTCATTATTAAATAATCCACTTCTGTTGGTAGTTAATTTATTTCCCTTCAACCTTTTCGTAATAGATCCCCATCCTTCTTTAGAGCTGTAGTTCTGTTTGTTGATTTCTGTCCAATAAAGATGATCATCAAATGACCGTTGGAGCACATCAGAACTTGTCTTTACCTGGGTAGATGCCCATCTTATAATACTGTTGCCAAAAGTAGGATGCCGTATGCTCCTATTATAGGAATAGCCTAATGGAACATTCTTAAACAATATACCTCGCAAAACTTTATTTTGCATGCTTTACCGAGTTCATTAAAGGCAATCCAAGAATCCTTCAACACCTTTAGTATTAACTTTTCTTTCTTAGCCTTGCAGATATAATTTTTCATTTTTAATAGTTTTGATATTGAAACATTTTATTTCTTAAAGGCCTAGCTAGCTCGATGCCTTTAACTCACCGGATATGACAGTAATAATAATTGAGAGACTAATAAAAAAAAGATGCTATTAGTGTAAGTACAGTACCTTCGGTACATTTTAATCAGTAACTTTCTATCTATACAAGTAAATATATATCATTTTGGTTATATAATTGATGTGGAAGAGGGATGACAAAAATAGCAGAGCGCAAGACTGCTATTATTTCAATAATAACAACGAATATGGTACTTTCAATTATTTTTGGTGTTTGAATTATGTAAGTTTAGTAATTGTCCACATAAATATAGCGATCCACATACTACAGTTGGTCTAGCATCCTCTTTATGAATACTAGCTAAAAGGTTTACAGCTGTTTCTATCGAATTTGTTGGGACGACATCTTGAGTGTATCCTTTTCTGATTATATCAGCCAATTCGTTAGGGTCAGTTGCTTTAATCCATGGCATACCTTCAACTTTATCAAATTGCGTAACAATCACCTTATCACAAGGACGTATCAATGATTTAAATATGGTGGAGATTTCCTTACCCTTTGTAATTGCGATCATAAATAATAATGGTCTCTCTCCGTACTTTCCTCTTATATATTTATTAAGTTCTATAGCTGCTGCACCATTATGTGCACCGTCTAGTAATATTGGAATGGTATATTTACTGGTATTAGAGTAATTCAATTCGAGTTCTTGAAGTCTACCTGGCCAAGTAACTGAACTTAGCCCTTTTTTCAATTCAGCTCTATTAATAGAAATAACTTCAGAATTGTGAAGGGCATCAAGTATTGATATAGCCACATCTAAGTTATAAATTTGATATTCCCCATTCAAGGGCAGTTTATCAAATTCGATTTCACCCCAAGATTTAGTAGTTAAGAAATTGCTTTTCTTATTTGGGTTTGTTACTATCAGCGTACAACCAATTTTTTCACTTCTTTCTCTGACAACCTTGATTACCTCATTATTGTTGGATCCATCGATTACCACGTACTTGAGACCCTTTGTGATGATCCCTGCCTTCTCAGAAGCGATACTTGAAAGGGTATTACCTAAAATTGATTCATGATCTAATCCTATTTTAGTTATCCCACAGGCCAACTTATTATCCCCTGGAATTACATTAGTTGCATCTAATCTACCACCCAATCCTACCTCTATTACACAAACTGAGCATCTTGTATCACTAAAGTATTTCAATGCTGTACACGTTAATAATTCAAATTCTGTACATTCTAACTGATATTTTACATTCAATGACTCTAAACTTGTCCGAAGGTCATTATATAATTTAGAGGAAATAGGTATATTATTAATAGTAATTGAATCAGTAATATGACATAGATGAGGAGTGGTGAACTTCCCCACTGACCTCTTTTGTTGTAAAATTGAAGTTAAATAAGAACAAACCGAACCTTTACCATTCGTACCAGCAATATGAATAACTCTTAAATTTCTATGAGGATTACCAACATGTTCAAGAAGCTTAGTAATTCGTGATAATCCTAAGTTGATGGACATTGGATATATCTATCAATTGGATCTATTACAGTTATAAGACAAAGTCCAAACCATTGATTAAATTTAGGTTTAAAGAAGTTGTAGTTCTTATATTTGATGGATTTTATTATTGAGATGAGGTCCGGAGGAGCCAATAGTGAAAAAAGTCAGCTACAATAAAACAAAGCAGTACAAGAGTCAGTAATAAGAAAAGAAACAAACTTGATAAACTTGATTCTATAATATGAATAGTGTATGTGACTATATGACTTTATATAAGAGCAAATGTAGTGAATAGCAATAAAACAAATAAAATGAGGCTAATGATTTATTCGTAATATTTTTTCTACCTGATGGGATAGTTTAATAATGAATATTATGGCNAATATAATACACCGGACAAAAGGAAAAAAATGGTCGAAAGGATAGAATTATTACGAACCCTAATCTAGGTTAAAAGGAATTAAAGTTTATTATTGTGTAAAGATCAAAATGCTGAAAAATGAAATATTGTCTAAAATTCGAAAGTGAGGGACTTTACTAGGGTCCTTTTCAAAAATGTCGACCAACCAGCTTTGCTTTCTTAAACATATTTTCTAGAAGTTCGAGGTTTTTTCATGCAATTAGCCCTTTCCATTCAATAGCATTTTTATAGAAATCATCCTCCATTTTGGATTACCATTACACCTGAAAGGTAAAATGTCTTCAGTATCATCAATATCAATGCCCTCTTCAACTGCATATTTAACAGAAAAATGAATAATTTCAATTTGGTATAGTGGGTCATTCAATCCTAGGGATTCTAACAACCATTGAGTAAATTTAACAAAATAACTAAAAGTATCTTCCAAGTTCACCACAGTAGAATCTTTTAAAATTAATTTTTCATTTAAAGTTTTTGATAAAATTTCAGTTTGTAAAGGTTTTGTTAAAAAAAAATATAATAAATCTAATGTCTCTAAACATTTAACAAAATATGCACCAATGATTCCAACGCAATGTAATAACGAATCATCCTTTCTACTATGAAGGTCATCGAAAAACATAGTTCTATGTAAAGATTGACTGAAAAATCTTAATTTTTTGACAAATTTAATTAATGCAATCCTTTCATTCTTTAAACATGATGCCCTCTTTAGCACTAATATATAATCATTCAACAGTTGAACATTCACTGAAATATACTTTTTAAATAATGGAATTAGTTCCTTCAATGCATTTTCAATGTCCTTGGTTAATAGATGCATTGCAATTCCAATTTGTTCCTTCTTATCAACTAGAAGTCCCACCAAAGACTCTTTTTAGATCACCAGTCTCGAATTAAAGAACTTAAACCTGAATTCTTCTAAATAAATCAAAATTTCATCAAACAAATAACCTAACTTATAGCTATCAAAACGGCAAACAAAGTGCTTCTCTTCTAAAAGGCTACACAAACCTAGTCCATCTTATCTTCTTTGTTCGAAATGCCTCCAAAACTTCATCGAACTGACAAATTTCCATTAATTCTTCAACATTCTGGTATTAGATATGATTCCGATCTACTAAAGAGTAGCTGTAACGTTGTGTCACGTGCCAATGTCCTTGAAGTATGTGTCAGTATTGGGAAAATCTCTAGTCGGATACACTGCTCCGCCAATTTTGTTTATTTTATTTTTTTTTTATATTTTTAGCACGAGCTTTAGATAATCGGCGAAGAAAGGGACACAAAAAAAGAAATATATGATCTGTCTCTGAAAAAAAAGTTTCCCAAAATGGGAATTTGTGAATTTAGCCGCCATCTTTTCTTTTCTTTATGAATTGTCCATCCACATTCTTGCCGTTGTTTCTTTTTTGATGCAATGATCAACGGTACTAGGTTTACGTCATAACCTTCATTTATTATATCCTCTCTTTCCTCTCTCTCTTTCTCTCTCTCACACTCAATATGTACTTTTGTAATAGCAAGGTTTACTTTTGATATCTTGTCCTAGGAATATACTTTCAGGGATAAGTTGATAAAGTACCTAATTAAGATATAGACACTCACTCATTATGAAACCTCTAGATACGCACTTATGCTTGCTTATACCAAGGTTAATTTGTCCTCCAAGTAAAACCTCTACTCTTGATTACTAAATGAGTTGTACCCCATCATCCTTCCATTGTCATCACGATTCTTTTTGCTATCACCTTTGTCTTGCCCCCTAACTTTTGCCGTTGTATGTCACCTCAAGTTGATTCCATATTAATTTCGTCAAAGGGTTACATGAATACATGACGTGAATGACCGTAATGATTAAACCTCATGTAAACTTCTTGCTTTGTTCTAATAAGGTTATAATATTTTGCGAACAAGTGCTCTGGCCGGGTACACCTAGTGGGTTTTCAATTCTAAATTGTCAAATAAATGAGTGATGAAGCCACAACTCATATATTCTTTAGGTATTGAAAGTAATTTTAGTAGTTGCTGATTATAGTAAAGTTCTACTCTGCAAGTATTTTTAATAGTTAATCATGCTCGCCCACCAAATTCGCATTACCTTTTATTGGGGTACTTACGATTTTACCTGAAATTTGAGAATATTATTGCTAATAATATTCTCATAATATTTATACGAATCAGGTATCCTTATCGCCACAAGACATGCATAAATTCAGTTTATGAAATTAATGGATTGAGATTATTGTTTTACTTTCTTTGGTAGTCACCATCATATATATAATAATATCCATTCTTAATTTAAAACGCGTACTTCTGTAAGAAAAATCACCAAATTTTAAATGGAACTTTTATTTGGTTTAAATACTGCCAATACATTAACACTGGCTAATTATCAATATTTATCGAAATCATCAAAAGCTTGCTTATTTGAAGAGACTCTCTATTCCTCCTATCAGATCAACTTTTAATCTAATCATCTCAAAAGAATTAAATTTCTTTTTTTTTGTTGCAAGATAAAAGGCCTCATCGATTTAAAAAAACATAAACAAACATATACCAAGACTTTAATATTTATAATTATCAGGATACCCAAACAAGATATTCAGTATCAATAATGTCCACCCAACAACTAGAATACACTCCTCTAGATGAGATTGATAGGAAGATTCAACGTTCAGTTGATTACTACCACAATAGACAGAGAAATTTAGCTCAAGTCAGAAATCCTTCCAAACACGACCTTCAATTTAGAGAACTGCAGTTGAAGAAGCTTTACTATGCTGTCAAGGATAATGAACAGGAAATTGTCAAAGCTCTACAGGCAGATTTCCATCGTTCTCCATTAGAAACTATTGGTTTGGAATACTGTAAATTGGTTGGTGATATTCTAAACATGTTAAAAGGTTTGAAAAAATGGGTGAAACCTGAAAAGGTTGCTGATAATAGCCCACCTTTTATGTTTGGTAAGATTGTCATTGAAAAAGCGTCCTTAGGTAGTGTTTTGGTCATTTCTCCATTTAATTTCCCAGTCATGCTAGGTTTAACACCAGTAGCTGGCGCAATTGCTGGTGGTAATTCAGTTATCTTGAAACCAAGTGAATTAACACCTTGTTCTGCTAGGATATGTGAAAAAATTATCAGAGAGGCTAATTTGGATGAAAATTTAGTTCAAATTGTCCAAGGTGCTGTTCCAGAGACAACTAGATTATTAGAATGTGGGAAATTCTCAAAAATATTTTACACCGGCTCACCAGCTGTTGGTTCAATTGTAGCTGAAAAGGCGGCAAAAAGTTTAACTCCTTGTGTATTAGAATTAGGTGGTAAATCACCAGTTTATATCACTGAAAATTTTAGTAATATGAAGATTGAAACTGCTTTGAAAAGAATTTACTTCGGCAAATTCGGTAATGCTGGTCAAATTTGTGTGGCACCTGATTATATGTTGGTCCATGAATCTAAATATGAAGTTGTACTACAAGTTGCCAAAAAATTATTGGAAGAATTTTGGCCAGGCTTTAATCAAAATACAGATTATACCCATATGGTTAACTTTAAAGCTTATTCCAACACCGTTCAAAAATTAAAGACTACAAAGGGTCAAGTTTATACTCCAAACTTTGCCGAACCAGATGAAATTTCCTTGTGTATTCCACCATCTGTTATCTCAAATGTCGATTGGGCTGATCCATTGATGATGGAAGAAAATTTTGGTCCAGTTTTACCATTAATCAAATATTCAAATTTAGATGATGCTTTGGATAATGTAATTAAGTACCATGATACACCACTCGTCCAATACATCTTCTCTGACAGTAAAGCTGATATTGATCATATCTTAACTCGTGTAAGGTCAGGTGATTGTTTGATCGGTGACACTATGATGCATGTAGGTATTAATAATGCACCATTTGGAGGTATTGGTAACTCTGGCTACGGTAGCTACGGTGGTGTTTTCAGTTTTAAAGCATTTACACATGAAAGAATCGTTTTCAAGCAACCATTCTGGATGGATTTCCTTTTGACCATGAGATATCCGCCATTCACTGAATCGAAGTTAAAGCTTATGAAGTTGGCAAGTGAACCTCAACCTTGGTTTAATAGAGATGGTACAGATAAATTGTCCTACAAGAAGGTTCTTGCTATCTCCTCCATGATAGTTCTAACGGCTTATATTGTCAATGGTTTACAATAGAGTGCTTTATGTCCCTTATATTTCATTTATTCACAAACAAATAAACAAACAACGACCAGAACAGATACACATACACATATATATATATATATTTACATAAATACAGATCCGGATCCAGCTGCACTTTGTATGCTGGGAATTTTTTATGGCTTAACGATTAATATATTTTAGTACTTTTGAGATTTTAGTATCTCTTATTTTTTTAGGTCTATTTTAGGGAAGGCGTGTGGCATATATAGCATCAAGAGGGATTGAATTATACGATAGTATAAATAAGGTTCGATATTGCATAATTAATAGATTTAAAAAAATTCATGCAAATATATTATATTATTAAAATTGATTTTAAATTAATTCAAGAACAAACTGTAACCTGATTTTAATCTTATATGGACTGATTAATTCATAAATATTTCCAATTACTTACAATTTATTATACAAGCTAATTCAAAATGTTTTCAATCTCCATGAAAACAATTTGATGTATTGTAAAACTACTTAAATATAGCTTCCAATGTCTAATTGATCAATGTTTACCTTGAGTACGTTTATGACGTAATTCCTTTTGTTCTCTTTCTGTTTCAGGATCGAACTTAATAAATTCATCTAAACCTTTACCAGCTGGAACCATCGGTAGAACAGGAACCTTCTTTTCGACTTCTACTTCTAACAAGACAGGTCCTTCACAATCTACAAATTCCTTTAGTTTCGCATCGACATCTTCCTGTTTATTTAGTCTCAACGCTTTGAAACCCATAGCTTCCGCAAGTTTAACAAAATCTGGATTCAATTGATGAGTGTGAGAGTAACGATGCTTATAGAATAGAGACTGCCATTGTGTAACCATACCTTGTTCCTCATTATTTAGAAGCAATACTTTAACTGGAGCCGACGCTTGTACAGCAGAAGTCATTTCCATTAGAGTCATATTGAAAGATGCATCGCCATCAATGTCAATGACCATAGAATCAGGCTTTGCTACTTGGGCACCGATTGCAGAAGGTAAACCGAAACCCATGGTACCCAAACCACCTGAGGTTATGAAAGTACGTGGATGTTTCCAAGTCCAATGTTGAGCAGCCCACATTTGATGTTGACCAACACCAGTAGTAACGATTGTCTCTCTATTTGATTCATTTGCAAGTTTTGATAATTTAGCAATAATGGTTTGTGGTTTAATTCTGGAACCTGGTTCTTCCTTCATATAGGAGTAAGGATATTTTTGTTTCCAATCTTCGATCAAATCAAACCAATCTTTTCTTTCCTTAACTGCAAAGATATTTGGTAATAATTTTTCTAAATTAGCAGCAGCATCACCTTCGACAGCTACTTGGGTATCGACAACTTTATTTATATTTTTAGCAGTTATTTCGAAGTGAATGATACCACCTCTATTTTCAAGAGCAGCACGACGAGCTTCAGGAGCAAACTTGGCAATGTTACCAGTAACACGATCATCGAATCTTGCACCTACAGCGATAATTAAATCGGCGTTTTGAATAGCTAAATTTGCAGGAGCATGACCATGCATTCCTAGCATATCCAAGGACTTTGGATCTTCTTGATCAAAAGCACCCAAACCTAATAAAGAAGTAGTAACAGGTATTTGAGCACGTTCACTCAATTCTCTTAATAACCTTGGACCTTCTTCATGATTTAAGATACCACCACCTACATACAAGACAGGTCTTTTCGCTATATTTATCAAAGAAGCAGCTTTTGATAAACTTTCTTCAGTGAATTCATTATGGGCATTTTTAACCAATTGGTTCAAAGCATTTGAAGGCAGAGTTGAATTAACAGGGATTGGGTTTCTTAAGATAGCAGCAGTCACATCTTTTGGTAAATCGACCAAAACTGGACCTGGTCTACCACTTGTTGCAATTTCAAAAGCTTCATTAATGCGTCTTGGTAATTCCTCTACGGATTTTACCATTACATTCCATTTAGTACAAGATCTTGAAATACCAATAACGTCAGCTTCTTGGAAAGCGTCTGTACCGATAGCGGAAGTTGGCACTTGACCTGTAAAGACGACCATTGGGATACCGTCAGCTAAAGCGTCTGCCATTGGAGTGACGACATTAGTGGCACCAGGTCCAGAAGTGACTAAGACAACACCAGGTTTACCAGAAGCCCTAGAGTAACCTTCAGCCATGTGACCAGCACCTTGTTCATGTCTTGGTAAAACGAATTTAAATTTATCACTATTATAAATAGCGTCATAAACAGGTAGGATGGCACCACCTGGATAACCAAAAACAGTGTCAACATTATTTCTAATCATCATTTCATGAAATATTTCACCTCCAGTCAAACCAATTAAAGATTTGTCCATCTTTAACTGATCCTTCTTTGGGAAAACAGTTTGTTGGGTAGGACCCACATTGAAACTTGGAGCAGGTTCTGGTCTTTCTTGTGCTTGAGATAATCTAACTCTACAATAAGATAAAGGTCTTGTTAAAGACAATGGAGCTGACCGTTTTAAAACATTTTGCAAAGAACGTCTTGCAACAACTGGAGCACTAGTAGTTCTCAACATCTCTTTTGTATATTTGACAATTATATTCTTTGGAAGGAGGATAGGAACCTAATCAAATGCAATAACTAGCTTTATAGTATAGTATAGAATAATATAATATAATATACTATAATAAGGATATAAAAATAAATTTTTTTATTTCACCCTTCTTAATTTTTAAATATTCTATCCTTCCTGATAGCACACACTTAGCCAATTCAGCGTAAAGTCAGTTATTCTAAATTAAATTAAATAAAAAACCAAAATGAACAGAAACTAAACTAACTGTACTACTTCTTGAACATCAATGAAGACTCCAAAACCCAACTTTAAAAGAATACATATATATACATTTACATTTACATGAGATTACTCTTCATAATCAATTGAAGTTGACTGCTGGTTTCGAATATTTTTCATTATGACTAAATTCGTGCAAAAAAAAAAAAATCAGGCAAAAATTTTGATCTGATGCATCGAACATTAATAAACGATATGGGAGATGGGACCAAAGACAGACACATTTTGAGTAATAAGTTAATGGTATGGGCATACCCCAGCAAGAGTCATTTAACAAAAGTGGTTAGTTTCTTACATTGGGATATATCACTGATTTCTTGAGTAGGTAAGTTCATCGCAGTTAAATTAAATATATGTGTATTGTATTAGGTGAGATTCAGCATAACATAACAAAGAGCATGTATAGATATATATATATAAGGATATTTATTTAGTTGTATAGTAATGGTAATAGAAATAACTGCAAAAATTAGAAATCAAAATCAAAATAAAAAGAACAATAAAAGCTTAAAAGCAAACTAATGATGATGATGTGGATGCAAAAAGTAGAATGAGGAAGAGTGCTATATTGGCATTGACTTAGAAGTTGACTTTATTGCTTGGTTCACCTTTTCTTAAACTTTGATAAATTTCTTTGAATTCACCTTGAGATAGTTTTGAAATATCATCAATTGTTGATTGAGAGACTCTTCTCTTTGAGGAGTCTAATGAAGACTCGGACATTCTTCTTTGTTTCTCCATCTCGTTTCCATCTTTAACGTCTTTTGACGTTGGTTCCCTATATTCATTTGAGTGCAGATACGTAGTTGTACCAGTACTCAAATTCATATGGTTTGAACCGTATATTTTGGAGTTTGCAGAGTGTTTGTCTTTGTTATAGACTGAGAAGGCGTTCCAGAAGTTAGACATGATCAGTTGTTGTATACAGTATTTTCTTTTAGTATCTGTTTTTAATTTTGGTTTTCTATTTAGTTACAAAAGATAAGAAGATAGATACAACACAAGAATTTAAATAATTTATAAATTGTAACTGATGGGTATTTATACTGATGGGATTTAAAAATTATTATTTCAATTAAATTATAAATTGTTTGAGGTGTAACACTCCTTAGCAATATTTTACCCTTAATATCGTATCGTCTCTAATTAAAATCAAATTCCATCCATCAAATTAATTAATTAATTAATAATCAATCATCTTAATACTACAATTGAGATGTTTTTATTTTAACATTAAAATGAAGGTATGTTTATTTGAGGTTTGACGTAATTTCCACTTTTTAATGTCTTGTAATGCTTAGATAGCCTTTTATGAACTTTTGTTACTCTATTTATGTCTGTATGTTTGGAGAAAGGCCACATACATAAAAGGACGAAGTGAGCTTAATAGTAATGAGGAGTGGCTAGGAAAGGTAGAGAGATTATGATAAAGAGAGAGAGAGTAGAATGGAAAAGGAGCGAAGAAGAAACGGAATAAGCTGCAAATAGTGAATGTGGGAAAAAAAGATGTGTATGGGGTGGCAGGGATAGAATAGATACTATGAAGAGCATAAGATAGAAGAGTAGTGTGAGATCAAGATCACGGGTGCAGTGGAAATGTGAGAGGGCAGATGAGAAGGAGAAAATGAGGGCGGAAAGTGATATGCACTGGTGAAAAAAAAGGAATGGGGAGGATACGAGAATGGGGAATGGGAAAATAAGGGAGGGATGAAAATCAGACGGTAAAGAGAGCGAGAAGTTAGACTAGGCAGATTCATAGGGAAGGAGTGGCGGGAAGGGTGACATGATGTGATCGCTGGCGACAGACGGAAGATAAAAGATAGAGGGGGGATTAGCATATATGAATTCCTAGCGTACGGGAAGTGTGGTGCTATAAACGGCAGTTGAGCTTATATAGGGCATGAGATGATGGACAAGAGAAAATAGCGCGAATGTGTCAAGGAGTAGAGTAAGAAGAGAAAGGAAAGTGAATATCGGTAAAAAAAGATGAAGTAACACCGTATAAATCTATGAAATAACCGTATTTAGAAACGGCGTGAAGCAAGTTAGAAGCGGTGTGTGAGAGGGGGTGAATATGCGGAAGAGGTGTTAAAGAGGAAGTGAGTAGAAGGGTGAATAAGTGGGAATGAGCCTGGCGGTGTACTAGGAAGAAGAGATAACGAGAAACAAGGAGAGAGAGTTGGGAGAGGGATGGGAAGCGATGAGGGGAGTAGAAAGTTGAAGGCAGTAGCGTAGAATATAGCGGTGGGGAGACTGTGGGATTAGAGGGGAATAGGCAGACTGATGTTGGGTAGAGGGGAGACAGAGGAATGAGAGATGTGAGAAGAAAAACATAATAGAATGCGATGGAGTAGAGAGGCAAGTGATAATGGAAAGAAGATAGATGTATGGTGGAGAGACAAGCGGAGTCAGTTTTGAGAGAGTAAGATGGACGGGTACGACG